TCCTTTCTGGCTTTGCCTGTTCCTGGAATTATGGAAATTTCTAATTGGCCATTGTTGCCTTCCTCAAAATCGAAAGCTTTGATCTCACCTATCAAATCTCCAGGGCGGGAGTATTCAGAAACCGCGATGTTGAAACGGCTTTGGGTGAAATAAGGCACCTGGTCGTTTTCATCTAGAATATTGACACTGACGGTAGCTTTACCGGATCTTCGTGGATTTCCCTTGTCTTCCGCGACAACTGTGAAATTAATTTGCCTCTTTAACTCGTAATCAAACGACGTTTTCACTTTAATGGATCCAGTGATGGGGTTAATGATGAACTCGCTGTTGGACACGTCTTGTAGGTTGTAAGTGAAGCGGCCATTGTCCGTGTTTGGATCGTCACGGTCTTGTGCAGTCACTGTGAGGATCTCTTCGTCGATATCGTTGTTTTCCCTGAACGCCACGGTATATGATTTGTTAGTAAACTCTGGAATATTGTCGTTTTCGTCGTTGATTTTCACCTGAAAGGATTCGGAAACACTCAGAGGTGGCAACCCAGCATCACTACACACTACAGTGAGGTTATGGATAGGTACAAGCTCTCTGTCTAACGGTCTAGCCACAATCACGTTGTATTCCTTGAGATCATAGTTTTGCAACTCGAAGTATTTCTCTATATTCAGCTTACAATTTACAACTCCGTTGGGTCCCCTATCTGTATCTCTGACCAGGATATGAGCTACAGCAACTCCAAGATTGGCGTATTCAGATATGGATGAGTAATTATTTGTGGACAGGTAGCTCAGGTGTAGTTTTGGCCTACTGTTGATGGTGTCCCTCACCTGGATCGATGCCGTGGTTTTGGTCGTAAAAGGCTGATCGGCCAAGTCGCTAGCTTCAACATCAATCGTGTACAACTCGGTCTCTGCGTCTTGGAAGTCCCCGATGAGCCGGAGATCTCCCAGTGTTTCATCGATGCTGAACATGGACAGTATCGATGCTGGCTGCTGAGGACTGAGGCGATATTTAATTTGCCCGTTTTTCCCCGAGTCTAAATCGGTGGCCGTCAGTGTAAACAACAGCGATCCCTTTTTGATGGTTTCGTCCACAACTTTGGCATAATTGTCTTGGGTGAATTTTGGAGCATTGTCGTTCACGTCTTCTACTGCAATCTCCACGTACAGAATACCCTCCTTCTGCGGCGTTCCGCCATCGCGGGCTATAATTCTCAAAGAGTAGGAATCTTTTGTTTCATGGTCTAACTCTTTAACAAGTCGAAGCATAAGATTTGTGTTTGATTTCGAGTACGACAGCTCAAATGGCGTATCTTTGGGCAATATCTCATACCCCTGTAGGGAGTAATCACCAGTATCCTTATCAACTGCCGACGGCAAAGGAAGGGAAGTTGGGATTTGTACTGACTCCGATATTGTTAAAACCGTTACGTTTTCTTTGAAACTCGGAGAGTGGTCATTGACATCTATGACGTCAACGCTGACCAGAACTTTACGGAAGAACTGGGTATGTGTGGACTGGATGACGATCTGCAGGTCAATGACACAGGTCACGTGGAACTGACAGACCACTTCGCGATCCAAAATGTCGGTGGCGGACAAGCTCAGATCTCCAGTCTTGTCGTTCAAGGAGAAATATTTTCTTAAGCTGGAGTCTATACTCAGCAAACTGTACTTCATGTAGGGAAGGCTGGCTTCAGAGACTTGTGTAGCTAGGGAGATGGAGTCTGCAATGTTGCCGATCAACGTTCCTGGTTTGCTCTGTTCCGGAATGGAGTACAGCACACTGGCTGCCGTAGCCATGGAAACAATGTTTAACAGAACAGGGAGCCAGCTAATTTGGGGAAACATTCTTGACAAATACGAAATGTTTACTTGTCTCTGAAATGAGCTTTGCTCAGTTTCCCAAACTTCGCACCACTTTGCAAGTTTACTTTCTAAGATATAAAAGTCTACTAAACCTCATTCATTTAACACCGAGGTACTTCTTGATCTCTTAACAAATATAATATCCTAGTGTTTCGAAATCCCTGTTGTTTCTTGATCTCAGACCAAATGAGAGACACCTTGGTGACTCTTAATCTCACGCAACACACTTCGGTTTCTGGGCTCTAAACAAAATGTAAGTCAGGAAATCTGTATTTTGTTGCCCACAAGCCACCGTGGCAAGTCAAGAATATAATATGCTGTTATCCACAAGCTATCGTGGTGGTTGCCGTTTTGTCAAAATACCTCTAGAAAAGGCTTGTTTTGGGGAGAAAATAGGTCCAAGTTGCAGTCCTGAAATCCAGTTAAGATTTGTTGTTGGAAGATTCTCTTGCCAGTTGCTTCTGCGGTAGGAAAAAAAAAGAGAGAGAGAATGTGGTGACTTCTTTAGTGATATGGGTTATGTAAATCTTAATGGAACAGCGTTTTATTAGAAACAGTGGTGAGACAGACATGTGGGCATGTACACAGAGAGAAATATACAGGCAGACAATCAGGGAGCCAGACAAGCAAAGTGAGTAAGTGGGTGAGTAAATCAGTGAGTGAATATGAATTAGTAGGAGAGTGACTGAATCGGTCAGTCGGGCAATCAGTGAGTAGACGGGTAGGTGAGTGTGTGAGTGAATATGAATAACTTGGAGAGTTAGTAGCTGACTGACTGAGTAGCAGATGGAGCGAGTGAGTGTAGTGATGAGTAAGTGAGTAGATGAGTGAGTGTAGCTGCAATGTGTGTCATAATTGTAACCTCTTGGGAGTTTACAACTGGAATGGACCATGTTCGATTGCCGTCCGGGATACAAGTCTCTGAGTCGCTGGAATGTCACACATTCAGGTAACACACAGCAAGGGGGAAACAATCCGTCAGTTAGTCAATCAGGCTAAATACTGTAATAAATAAATTATCAGGTACTGATCGACAGTCATAAAAGAAGAGGGAATAGAGGTTAAAATAAACACTAGACAACACATATGTGTGTAGGCACCGTCAGTACCTCGTGACCTGAAACTGTAGCGCTGGTTTTAGGAGCAGCGTCTGCAATAAGTCAATACATTCAAATATATGGAAACACCTTTCATCAGATCGAAAATGTGTGACAGAGATTAAAAGCAGAGTAGGTCAAGCAAAAGCTGCATTTCAGAAAATGAAAAATATCTTATGCAAAAAGTCGCTCTCATTTAATGTCACCAAGAGGGTGCTAAAATGTTACATAGAACCTGTTTTTCTGTATGGCAGCGAATCTTGGAATGTCAGTGAGCAAATTAAGAAGAATCTGGAAGCAACAGGGATTTGGTTTCTGAGACGAATGTTACAAATACTTTTTTCAGCCATCAACGATTGCTTGAAAGAAGCTAATGAAAGTAGATCTCTATATACAACAATAAGAAAAAGACAAACACTGTTCTTTGGCCACATTATAAGAAGAGAGACATTAGAAAATATCGTGACAACTGGAAAGATCAGTGGAAAAAGGGGTAGAGGCAGACCACGAGAAAATATGCTGGATGGGCTGAAACGAAGGCATGGAGGGATATCATCAAGAGAGCTGTTCCAGGCAACTAGGGATCGTGATCTGTGGAGACGCATGAGTGTCTTCGCCAGTTGGCAGGGCACATGATGATGAGGATGTCTGCCATGACGTTAAGTCATTTGTGAAAGTGGCAGCGTCTGCCTTAAAGTCTGCATAAGAACGTTGATGCACTACTGAACTGAGGCCAGTTTTCTCTCAGACGTCTCCTCTCTATAGCTTGCAGAGTTAGTCCTCTTGCAAACTGCGGCAGTCCATCTTTCCCTGTCTGCCTCCATAGGAGTTGGTCTGCAGCTGATCTCTCCCCAGTGTCTGTGTTAATGATGGCATCTTTCAGGTCACGTTTATATATGCCCTTGAGACAACAGTGTTTGTGTTAATGATGGCATCTTTCAGGTCACGTTTATATATGCCCTTGAGACAACAGTGTTTGTGTTAATGATGGCATCTTTCAGGTCAAGTTTATATATGTCCTTGAGACAACAGTGTCTGTGTTAATGATGGCATCTTTCAGGTCACGTTTATATATGTCCTTGAGACAACAGTGTCTGTGTTAATGATGGCATCTTTCAGGTCACGTTTATATATGTCCTTGAGACAACAGTGTCTGTGTTAATGATGGCATCTTTCAGGTCACGTTTATATATGTCCTTGAGACAACAGTGTCTGTGTTAATGATGGCATCTTTCAGATCACGTTTATATATGTCCTTGAGACAACAGTGTCTGTGTTAATGATGGCATCTTTCAGGTCACGTTTATATATGTCCTTGAGACAACAGTGTCTGCGTTAAGGATGGCATCTTTCAGGTTACGTTTATATATGTCCTTGAGACAACAGAGAAAAGAACGCCTAATCACCACACCGGGGAATGTAAAGGACCCTTTTCCTCACCTTCAGGCGCATTGGCACATATGGTTATACCTATATTTTATAGACCAATCAGCACTCCGTGGGTGATGTGATCAACATCCCGTCGGCCGCCTTTACTTCCCAGGACTTTATCTGCTAACCGTTTGAGGTTGGGTCGATCTGGGAGCAAAGTTCGTTTTTGAAAAAGGTACAGCCCCCGTTCGGATTTTAACCCCTGACCTTCGAACTGCAGGTCTAGCCGCTAGACTATGGCAGCTCGCCTCCACTCCAGTTTTCAAACGTTTAGCTACTGAACCATAGTGTTAAAAACTTGGTTTCCCATGACAGCGACCTCTGTGTGCGTGTGTGTGTGCGCACGCGCGTGTGTGTGTCACGGCCAGCTTAAGATATATCGGGAGCTGGTCGTGGTGTGTGTGTGTGTAGAGTGAGGGAGAGGGGCAGGGGGGAGGGGGTGCCGACGTATACCAGGAACTCTGTGAAACCATCCATTAAAAACAGAATTCCCCAAGGTCCGTTGTGGGTGATATGCCTCGAGGCATAGTGTCCGCCTCGAGTGATGAAGGTCCCAGGTTCAGGTCCCGGTAAAGGCCGGGATTTTTTAAAGTGGACTTCTAGTAATTTCCCACTGGTCTCTGGGTAGTAAGATCGGACACCCGTGTGTATTGTTGCGCACGTAAAAAAAAATCCCTTGACAGTTGGAAATCGAAAAGAGTAGCCAAACTCAAAATTTTGAGTTCAGAACATACCGAAAGTATTTCAGGATTTTCACCGGTACCACGGAGTTCGTGCACTGTGCTAGATTTGAGTCAGAAGTAGAACGGAGCACTTACTGGTTACCCCTTATTCCATGATGTTGATACGTTGTTTAAACCTAAATTTAATGTACTCCTAAACTAAAAAGGAAAGTCAATTCTCTTAAACCCATCCAGCAGAGAGAAATAAAGGAGTGATGTAAGTAACAAGAGACAAAGCGTAAAAGTTATTGCCTGGGCTTCCCCGAGTGGGTTCCGTGGCCCTATTATGGGAAAAACAAGAATAGACCCACTGCCTACCCAAAAGCATGTTGTAAGGGTCGACTAATTAGGAGCTTCCTACGAAGTCGGAGTGCATCTGCCTGAGAGGCAAGGAACCAACAGTCTGCATACAAATTAGTCAGATCTGTCAAAGGGATGCACATGCAACACTCAGATTCCCGAACAGGACTGCAGTTCAGAATTGGACGAACAACCAGAACTTTCTGCAGGAGTTTATAGCGGGTAACGCAAAGAAGAAGAAGAATTGCCAGGGCTATATAAATGACAGGGGAGGTTGACATGACATGATTGATTGCCTGCGCTTGATTGAAGGCTAGAGAGAGAGGGGGGAGAGAGAGACACACACTCACACACAAAGGGAGAGGAAGAGAAAGAGAGAGACAGAAAGAGAGGGGGGAAGAGAGAGAGAGGGACAGACACACACACACACAGAGGGATAGAGAAAGAGACAGACAGAGAGAGAGAGAGAGAGAGAGACAGACAGACAGAGAGAGAGGGGGAAGAGAGAGGGACAGACAGAGAGAGAGGGGGAAGAGAGAGAGACAGACACTGAGAGAGAGAGACAGAGAGAGAGAGGGAGAGAGACAGAGAGAGAGGGAGAGAGACAGACAGAGAGAGAGGGAGAGAGACAGAGAGAGAGAGGGAGAGAGACAGAGAGAGAGGGAGAGAGAGATAGAGAGGGGGGAGAGAGACACAGAGAGAGGGGGAGAGAGATAGAGACAGAGAGAGAGATAGAGACAGAGAGAGAGGGAGAGAGAGAGACAGACACAGAGAGAGAGGGAGAGAGACAGACAGAGAGAAAGGGAGAGAGAGACAGACAGACACAGAGAGAGAGAGATAGAAAGAGGGAGAGAGGAAGGAGAGACATAGAGAGAGACAGAGAGAGAGACAGAGAGAGAGAATTACCATTCCCCCCCCCCCCCCCCCAAAAAAAAAAAATCAAGTTTCCCCTGCTGCGTGTATTATTGCACTCTTGGTACCATGTTTTGTAATTAAAGGGGCGCAGCTAAAAAATTTGCGGAACATATATTTTTGTCTCTCAAAGTCTTTTCGTACTTTCCGCATTCTGCACAAGGACAAGACATTCCCTGGCTTCACTGCTGTTAAAGCCGTTCTCTGCGCGGGCGCTAGTTAAACATTCTATAACAATTACTTGAGCAGAGACACAGCGAAAAATTTTCAGTTAAAAAAAACTTGAATCCCGCATCTACAAAGAAAGTGTTGCTGTCCCGAATGGAGTCATTATGAACTTTCATTCATA